AAAAAAAAAACCAGAATGTTACACATGTTAACTGGATTTGGAAAACAACTTTTGTACCCGTGAATGAACAGAGAAACTGGAACCCGAAAAGGAAGACGCTATACTCAATTATAATGGTGCAGGATGTCAATGTTCTTCTTCTGTTGAAACTTCGTATAAACAACAACAACAACAACAACAACAACAACAACAATCACAACGAAATCAACACCAACAACAAAGAAGGAGGAGGAGGAGGACAGAAGACCCATTGCCTCGCTAACATCCTTGAAATCGCTTCTTAAAATAAAGGCTTTCTGTTCTATTCTATTCTATTCTATTCTGTTCTATTCTTACATCTCTGTCGTTGTTTTGGTCAGAATTCTAGTAATTTACGCTAATATTGCAAAGACCGTAAACAAAGCTAACAAACTTAGATAACTGACTAAACGCCTGTGTTTTTGTTACACGAAAACTAGAAATGTCGTGCGCATTGCTCATTGTGCTTTCATTAATTAGTTTATTGTTGTTCTTAAATTAATTTTCCGCCCAATGATGAAAAGGTGAGATATTTTAGCTGCTATTAATGCTAATTAAGACGCTAAGCCTTTTCAAATCCATTTTCATTTGTAGACAAAAGGGTTTTAACTCCTCCTCCTTAAAAAACCTATAAAAGCATGAAGAGAATCACGATGAGTTAAAATACAAATACAATCAGTTGGTACGTGTTCATGAAACCCCGAGAGAAAAACATGTTAAGTTTGAAGAGTTTGGACGATAAACCACTCGCTACTAATCATGCTGATGTCAGACGAAAGCTCAATTTTGATGGGTTACTCATCAAAAAGCCATTGGAAGACGAACCTGATCGATTTCAAAACGGAGGGCACAGCATTGCCCGCCATCGACTCTTCTTCGGCGAAACCGAGCCCTCAGTTCTACTCAGCTGGTGTCCTGGTAAGTGAAAATGTCTGATTAGTTTTAGAATCCATTTTACACTGAGTTTTCGCTGACAAGGAACTTGCGCAAAAACTAAGGAAAGTGTTCCAACCTTTTTCTCCAATCACAAGGCGGCCAAGCCCAGAGACCACATCTTTTAAAACACTAAAAATTCACGTACAGGCTCATATCTTTCGCCAGAGCAAATACAATGACACCTTCGGCTGAATCGAAAGAGGGCCAAATGAATAAAAGTTTGCTCAGCACGCAGCTGAAGCATAGTAAATGTTCGCGCCAGTACGATGATTATGATTGACTTAGATTTCGATCCCGCAGTTCTTGTAACAAAGCTCTTCTGTGAGTTTTTCTTTTAAATGCTTGTTGTCTTGTTTTCGTTTAGATGTTCGTACCAGCCGGTATGATCCTAATATGTCATCGCCAAGCAAAGAATCTTTTCGTGTCAAGAGAACTTGCTTCACCTTTAAACAGAAGACAAAGCTGGAGGAACTGTTCCACAGGAAGAAATTCCTAAACATGAAAGAGAAAGCAAAACTGGCGACAAACCTCGGAGTAACCAAGCTGGAAATAAAGGTATCTGAAGTTTTATTTTTCCTTTCTTTAAATAATTGATACTATTTTTGATAAAATCTCATAGTTGTTAGCAAATCCTGAAAGAAGTGACCCCTCTCTGAAAGTGACGACCTCAAACGTAATTTGACTTGTTATGACAAACAGTGAAAGTAGCAGATGCCGGCAACACAAAGAGCCTCATATTTGTTTGAAATGATCTTAGTTGGAAAGGTATATCACTACCCTGTTGGTATAACAAATTCTTTTCAACAAGATTTATCCCTTTTTTTCTCTCTCTCTCTATATAGGACATTTTTATTTATTAAGAAGGCTAGCCCTAAATGTGTTTATAGGCGGAAGGCTGCTAAAGAAGCGCTTCTGCTCTCGGAACTTAATTCACTTACTTACGGTCTCAGACTACAGTATAATTCATTTCTTCAGGTCCTACAGCCTTTGCTTGTTCGAGTATTTTGTGATTTGTTATACTGAATTCATGTTTAATACCATTTTAGAAGTCTTCAATGTAACGAAAGGCATTATTTTCTGGTTGTCGCTACTTATACTTTCGTGTTTAAAACAAAAGTGAAAACTTTTGAAATACCCCAAGAAAAACAAACAATTGAAAGTTATAACTGGTTCCGGAAGGTCGGAGGATACCGGGGGAAGGGGTGGGCGAGGGTTCTTTCGGAACGATGCCGTTGTTTTGAAAGAGTCATGCTTAAAAACTGAAAAACTTAGAAGTGTTAATGACGACTTTATTTGTAAATTTATTCACTTTTGTATTTTTATTTTGATAGATAGGCTTTTATCTTGAAAATAATTATAATGTCTAAAAATTTAATTTGTACATAGTCCTGATAATTGTAACTCGTTTTAGGTTCCCTCAATTAGCAGTATTTTAAACATGACACTTTTCTATTTTTAGATTTGGTTCGAAAAGAGACGTCAATAATGGAAGAAGGAACATAAGAGTGGTCAAGTTGAACACTCAAGCATGTTTACACTGCTGGCAAATCCACTGACACCGTTCCCGCGACCATTCCAAAATTTTATCCTTCTCTGCGATCCAACAACATCCTCGGACGGCCAGGACTCGTTGCCAGGCATTGCACCCAGTTGCCGAGGAGACCTGAACCGAAATAGTGAAAAGCATCTTGACAATTCGTCAGAATGTCACCTGTTAGAGCGAGAAACTTGT